GTAGCTTTGAAGTGTAACTTCTATTCTGTGGCTTGTTCCGAGATAAAATCTCACTTCACTGCTCACATGGCCGCGTTTTTCATCATTTTTTTTTCTTCGTTGCCAAACGATGAGGTTAGCAGTGTTTTTGCCCTCATTAATTCCAAGTTTTTATTTTCGCATTTGTATAATTCCATATAGAAGCGCGGGTGGTCCTTCCACTCTCACTGACGGCCTTTTTTATAGTGAGTAGCACTGAGCAGCTTGCTTGTAATTTTTATTTTTCGTCTTTTTTACATAATCATCCCGGCTGTTCTCTCTGACGTATATTGCTTTGTTACTGTATTGCTCAGGCCCGATCAAAAGCGCAGTGCTTCGCTGTAGTTTGCTTGTCCCTGGGGCGAAATAACAGCACGGAACATTCATAGCTCTGTGATTTTTTCACGCAATTTTTGTTTTTGAAAAATAGGCCTTTTTAAGGGAGCTTTATGGCGATCTCGCGTAAATGAGGTAGAAGTTGATTTCATTTTGTATGGTGAAAATCGAAGCCTCGAGCAAGCAACCAAGGTGATTGTGACAGATGATACCGGCTTCACACCGTTTATCAAAAGGCTGCGAGCGGAAGCAAGCAATGGAAATTCGCGCACCAAAAAAGTGAGTTATCTGGAAGGCTTCAAATGTTCAGTTTACTTCACTGTTTCCAAAATGTGGTTCTTTTAAACCACACAGAAAATTTTTGGTTTTGTCGTGATGGCCAGGTCTGAACCAGTTTTTCTGTCTGTGAGCACTTTGCGTTTGCAAAATTAATGTTCCAGTGGCTTCATGTGGACGCTGGAATGGATGGCTTTGAGCATGGTCTTGAGATAATGGTCGATAGCCGGCGCAATCCGGACTGGAATCCATTTATCGATCCCTATCCTGGCAGATGCGAAATCGACAAGCGGCGCTTGAGAGCGCGTGTTTTGAAAACTACTTATGTTTACGATTATCCACTACTTTTTGAGCGTGCTATCCTGGCTATGTGGCCCAATGAGTTCGTTTTTATTTTTTTCTTTCCTTAATAATAACCTAAGCGGAGACGCATGTCCCTCCCTCATTAGCGTTTTTGCCAGCAGCAGTTACCGAATAATGAGACTATCGACGGTTCTCTTTTCTGAGAATCGTTCAGAAATAGTGCTGAGGACGGTTTCTGGTTGTCGGCGTGTTAGGCAATAACGCTTCGCGAGAATTTGTAATAGGTCTTGGGAAGGACTGGCCTCCAAATTAATGGGAGCTTGAAACACAGAACATGCACACAGCTACAGCAAAAGAAGCGCCTGGGGATAATGCAGCACTGACAAGATTGTAAATATGGTTGAATTGAGTTCTACAAGTGGATTCCTGTGTTCCACTTTTCACCTTTTTGAGATTTTTAATTTTTTTCCTTACAGTTTTCTCATTATAGGCCGAACGAAAGGCCACAAAAATTGGCTGTATGTCAGTTTCACGAGCTGATTTATGATGAAAGTACAAAGCAGCTTATC